CCAGAAGGCCAACCGTGTCCTGGGCTGCACCCAAAGCAGCGTGGCCAGCAGGGCCAGGGAGGGGATTCTGTCCCTCTGCCCCGCTCTGGGGAGACCCCCCTGCAGTGCTGCGTCCAGCTCTGGAGCCCTCAGTACAGGAGAGACATGGACCGGTTGAAGTGGGTCCAGAGGAGGGTCACAGAAGTGATCAGAGGGCTGGAACAGCTCTGCTGTGAGGACAGGCTGAGAGAGTTGGAGTGGTTGAGCCTGGAGAAGAGAAGGCTCCGGGGAGACCTTATTGCAGCCTTCCAGTGCTTAAAGGGGGCCTGTAAGAAAGATAGGGACAGACTTTTTGGCAGGGCCTGTTGCCACAGGACAAGGGGAAATGGTTTTAAACTAAGAGAGGGTAGATTTAGACTAGATATAAGGAAGAAATTTTTCACAATGAGTGTGGTGAACCACTGGCGCAGGCTGCCCAGAAAGGTGGCAGATGCCCCATCCCTGGAAACATTCCAGGTCAGGTTGGACAGGGCTCTGCGCAACCTGATCTAGTTGAAGATGTTCCTGCTCATTGGAGGGGGATTGGACTAGATAGCCTTTGCAGGTCTCTTCCCACCCTAAGATTCTATGATTCTATGAATAATGAAGTGTATCAGAGGGGCCAGAAGAGCCATGCCAGTATTTGAGGGTCACTGAACATGCATTTGCTTGTGAATCTACAGTGCTGTGTGTGTGCATTCACCAGAGAATTTCAATCTTTCCCAGCCAAAGAGGAGGAAGGGATCTTGGCTGTCTATACTTATGTTTTATGCAAGTCCTGTATGTGGGTGCTGCTGAAGGCAGCGCCTCATCTGTGGCAGCCTGTGTAGCCGGTCATATCAGTGTCCTTTGTGTGTGTGCGTGGGTGGGTGTCTGCAATTAATGCTCAGCTTCACTACTTGTTGAACCTACAAACAGGAAAGCAGCAGGTACATCCATCAGCCTGGGACAGAGACCCCCCAAGTCTCTGCATTGTAGGAAGCCCCAACCCCAGAGCTGCTGGAGGTGGCAGCCATGTGTAACATCCCGTAACATTGAGCGCAGAAGAAACCTGCAAAGAGCATTCACCGTTAGAAATCTGCCCTGGGACAGCTCAGCATCAACTCACCGGTAGTTCATCCTTCTGGTTCCAAACTCCTGTGCACTGCCTTTGTTCAATAACTGCCTTGATATTAATTAGAGCTGGTAATGCTACACAACCTGCTGAAAAACTGCAGAAAAAGGAAACGTTAATATAAGGAGCCTGTTAGGAAACCAGCATTTTCTTCTATTTCTACTGTAAAGGTTAACTGGGACACAACAGTGTTTCATTCTATTTCATTCAGTTGTTGTCCGTATTTCTAAGCTCCATGCAATGTAACAAGCAAGTGTTTTGGGACAGGTTATCAGTTACTCTGCATCTTAGGCTAGGGCCCTCATGTAATATATTCTTAACTGAAAACAACAGCTAATCCCTGCTCTGAGTCTTATAATGAACTGATTTTCTATACCACCTACCTTGAGCTGTACAGGAGTTTTATTTTAGTATATATAGGTAGTTGCTCTCTTAACTATAGAAGAGTACATGCAGCCTAAGAGTTTCCGCATAACCCACACATACACACAACCCATAATGCTTTAATTAGATGTAATTACCATGTAAAGATACATATTTTTCCACCTTCATCTTAAATCAAGAAAACAAATATTGAAAAAACATAGGAAGGCAAGTGAAGGAAGGAAACCACAGCCTGTAAGATGAATGGCAGTATACAACTGACCAAAGTCAGCGTCCCAACAGTTCAGCCTGCCCTGGGAGTTACTGATTACCATAACTTACAACACTATTTTGAAATGTTTCACCGTGTTACAAGAGGAAGCATGACACTGAGTTTCCACAAGTTAAGAGATGTATTGATGGATTTAAGTCTAATGACAGTATTATAAGCCTGGAAATCAGCAGAAACAGAAACAGGATCTGACCTTGGCATCAGCCTTCTCTGTTTCTTTGGCAGATTATTTTACTATTTGTGCAAGTTTTACTGTCTACAGAAGTCACGACCTTCCTCTCCACTCTGCCCCTCCAGGTACTTGTTTTTATGTTTCTGCAGCAACATTCTGGATAGTTTATTTGGAGGGATGTGCCTGAAACCTATGGATCTCTTGCCTAAGATAATTAAAAAAAAAAAAATCCTATCCCTCATCTCTGACTGGCCATTTTAACCCTTTACACTTTGCTTTTTGGAGAGTAACTTGTTTTAACCCTGTGGAAAGTTTAGGCAAATAGCACTTGTAGAAATAAAAGCATTACTGCTTTAATGGTTCTGTATAAAACACCTCAGGAAGAGCCCTTTAAGCGTATAACCACACAAGTAAATAGTACATTCAAATAATTCGAATGGTGTCCTGTAGTCTTTCAAGACCCTGAACCATGACCTCCATAGCACAGCTAGAGTTTTCTCACTGACTCCAAGCAGTAATGCAGACCATGAGGCCTGTACAGGATTAGATACACACTGGGAAACCAATCAGCCTTAAAAAAAAAAAAAAAAAAAAAAAAAAAAAAGGACTGCTACCCATGTTCTAGAAAGCAATCTATTTTATAGCAGGGATTTAACTTTAAGCTGGTTTAATTTCTACAGGATTTGCATCGCTCAAAGGTCATGCCAGTTTAGAACAGTTGTTTATGATAAGAGTATTGATACCACCTATAAAGTAAATACATTTCAGTGCAATTGATTTCACACCAGCCGCAAAGCAAGCATCCAACCAATCCAAACATTCACCGAAAAATCTTTTGGTTATTTGCACTAGAAACTGTATTACAGTATCAGTGCAGGAGCAATTAAATTCTAAAGGACTGCTGTTAATTTGACTGAAACAGGAAAAAATGAAAACCAAAAACTAGACATAAAAGTTTTAGATATCTATAAAACCCTCAAAGTGAAACTCAATGTTTATTACAGAACGACAATTAACCTGAAAGTGCTCCCTTTGCTCCTTCTGTTGTATACTATGACTGAGGTGCAACAAGAGAAGCAGAAGGCTTGACAATTTTAAGAGCTCTAAACTAAGCACAGAACTCTAATAATACTAACATGCAAACAGTAAAAAAAAAAAAAGCCAAAACAAAAAAAAAGAAGAGGTAAGGAAGCTTCTAAGTACCAAATCTAGCCCAGAAATACAATTTATTTTCTATTTCGTGTCTGAAATGAAAATGAGAACATTGGGCAAGGATATTGGGGGAACAGGAATCCAAAGGCTAAATAGTAGCTAATCTGTTTTATCTTTAGAGAAGCTAGAAGGAGATTAGGTTGGTTTTTCTTCCCATTTCCAACAGCCTCCTACAGATTTGCATTTTGTCAGATTAAATACTTAGCTTGAAAGCATCTCTTTCTTCTTTGCAAATGAGGTCCAGCAAATAATCTGGAAATTTTAGCAGCTGAAATCACAGCATAACTCCTAAGCATTCTTCTAAGGAGAACACAGGTCAAGTAACATGCGGATTAAAAACCAAGATCATTAAGTGCCGACAGAATCATGGCCAGAGTTTTAGAGTTGTTGGGTTTTTTTCAGTTAAATAGCAGGGATAGTTTTCACACATTTGCTGAGGGAATAATTGGCTGATTGCCATCCTCATCTTTTGCACTGATGTCTAAACTAGGGAAGCCCAATTCCATCCGTGAATGCTTGAGCTGAGAAGGTGCAGGATAAAGCACAGCACATGGGAACCTCCAACATCTAATCTTGGTAAATCTTGTTAGAGCTAACTGTAACCATACTCTTTATTTAATACCAGGTAGATGAGACTACTTCTCAAAAGTTGTTTCTTTTTTCCTCAAGAAGAAATAGAAACCAAAACACTATGTACCTGGCCTTAAAAGCAAGCAAAACCCAGCATACCTAACACTGAGAGGTGATTCAACTGAGAGACCCAGAAGAGCACAGGCATCTCTTGTAAAGATGTCACAGATGTCCGCCCACTGGTTTGCATCTAATAGATGAACGTACGGAGAGTTCTCTATACCTTGCCGCAGATATACCAGGCTGCCCATCAAAACCTGAATATCTGTGAGAGACCAGGAACAGTTAGTTATTTTGTGCTACACATAAAAGCTAGTGTTTACAGTTTTAGCTTTTACATGGAAAACAGGCAGATACACCAAAGTGATAGTACACATCTTCACCTCCTCAAAATAACATTACAGCCATCACAGAACAGACGTCTACAGCTATGAGACCTCCAGTCTACTATGGATAGATTGGGGGGTTGTCTGCCCCTCTACAAGCACAGCATGCTGCCTATTAATTTGCTTTAAACAGGTTTACTTTTTGTAAGCTTTCTGACATACACTGTACCCTAAAAAAAACTAGGCTTGACTGGATTTAATTTAAAGATTGTTCACTTAATTCACATATTCTCCATTTTTCAGAGATTTTATTTCTCTTTGTATTACCCCACACAGCAGAAAATAGTAGGTCGCTATTCCAAGAATGTTTCTGTGCATTTTTAATGACAGCAGACCTATTCTAGATGTAATCTAAGTATTATTTAAAAGAGTCAAAAACCTTAAACTTAAGCAAATGTGCAGATATATTAAAATATAATTTTCTGCCTCTTTAAAAAAAAAAAGAGAAGTTAATTCAAATTGTACAGACTCAGGCTATACATGTTAGATACAAAAATAAGAAGCCTCTAACAAAATTAAAATAGTGGAGTAAAACACGTTTGGAATATGATTTATATTTTATTACAAGGTGCTACATCCAAATCTTTTAAATTCCCTTAATGTGACCAAAAAAACCTTACCTTTCTGATGATTTAGGGCAAACGGCTGGAAGTTTTTCGCATACTGAAGTGCTTCTCTTTGATTTGCTGTTCCACCCATCAATAAACTAATGAAATATAATCTGTGTAGTTTAAATTCCAACGAACTATTCTGTGCCATAAGCATTTCTCTGTTGGATACCGCCCACCTAGAAGAAACGAGGAGGTACAATGGGACACGACACGAGTAATTAAGTGTCAGCCTACACCATATGAAATGATGACAATTATCAAACACCTATTTCAAGGAGAATATGACTCTTCCCTGAGCTTCCATGAGTCTATACAGAGGACAGAAAACACTAAGACCTTTTACAAGTAATGGAGCTATACAGGGTGCACAACACATGAACGACTGCACTTCTGGTGCTGCTGTACAGGTTAACCTCTGCAAAATTCAGCCCTGACTGGCTGGAACGCAAGACTGAACTAGGCACAATATAAGGTAGAAATAGCTAAAGTCTACCATATTTTGATTAATACCACTCTGTTACTGAATCTTTGAATTGAAGATAAGTCTTCAGCTGCATGTTGAAGAAGTTTGATCAAGACTTTCAAGAACGTAATTTCGAACCTCCTCATTCCCCAAACATTTTCTACTAAGCCACTATGTTTATGTGTGTGCGTAGGTTGCCCTGGAGAGGGGAAGTGCATCTACGGGGGCCTCAAGACAGACATTATAAAGACCTTACACTGGGCGATAGGGAGAAGGGAAGGGAAATCAGTTTAAATACCATACTTTACCTTGCTTAAAGTCCATTTTCTGTGTCATTTTCAACTTGGGCAATAAAAATATTTCTCACTTTCTGAGTCTTATTCACCATGACAACACTAACATCTGGCTCTCAAATAACATGGAAGAATTCCTAAGCATGCACCAAGTAAAATGAACTGGAATTTTTAAAGCATTTCATAAAAAATTATTTTAGTATTTAGATTTTATCCATCCTTTTTTTTTGTGGGCTTGTTTGGGTTTTTTTTTTTCCTTTTTTTTTTTAATTCAATTTTGTCAGGCCCAAATCAATCCAATCTTTCTCTTAAGAACTTCAAGTTTCAATGTTCTTCAGTACATCTGTTTCTCATTAGTGTTAATTAGTTATACTATTTTCACTGTGGGGGCCCCATTAAGCAAAGAGCTTTTCACTTTTCAGCAGGGAAGTGAAGTAGCCTCTATTCCTTTAAAAGAAGGGGTATGCAAGGCTTCTGTTCTTTTCAACCAATACTAAAATAAGCAAATTAAGCATTCTTACAGTAGTGGTAAAGCTTTCAATGCAAGTTAGCCTTCTGCATCAAGATGAAGTGTTAATGAGCAAGTATCTACTTTCAATTTGTTGTGGTGAAAGTGTCAGGAGTCTGACTTTACTAGCAAGGCTTTGTAATGACAGGAGTAAACTTTCAGCAAGAAACAGTGAAAAATGTAGCCTTTGAACTAAGAACAATCCCTACTGTCCCTAACTTCAAGCAGTTTCAAATAGGCAGCCTCAGAAGACAGTCAACACCATAATCTTAACCAGGTGGGAATGGCACACTCACTAACCATGGGGTGGGGGTTTGAGGGGCTTTTTGGATTTTTTTTTTGTTGGCTTTTTGGTTTGGGTTTGGTTTTGTGGTTTGGTTTTTTTTTTTTAATATGATCAGTCTCCACAGTTTACACTGGGTATAGTGGCAATAAAGCTCACTCTCAATTAAGAAAACAAGAACCTGAAGTTAACAACCATAGACCAATAAGCATCTGAACGACAAAAAAGTATTATCAATAAACAATAACACTAGAATCAGTCTACAGTCCCATTAATGAGATATTAATCTGTATTGCATCAAAGGGAGGCATCAAAAGAGCCTCCATCCTCTCCCTGCCATTATTTGCAACCACATAACACGGTACTTCATCTTCCTGAGATTAAGCCTATTTTTCCAAATTAGCTTTTAGGCAGGCTTTCCATTTTTAGGTCTCCGAGTGGCAGCACAGATTTGTATCGGAAGAAAGCAGCCACAGAAGCAAGGCCTGAGGTGTTTGGTCTAGGACATGGTGTTCTTATTTCTAATGGAAAGACAGAAAACCAACAAGTGAGGTTTAGAACATTCAACCCACATACTCTCTACAACCATCCAAAATCATTAGTAATCACAACACCTGTCCTCCTACCTCCTCTCAAAACAGTACTTTCAGGGTGTTTTCACTTCTGAGACTCAAATCCACCTGAATTTTTTTAAAGTTTAGGGTATACAATACAACCCACAGGTACACAGAGCGCTCTTCTAGCTTCTACATGGGATTTAGTTACAATTAATTTCACAAAGACCAGCAAGGATTAAATTAAGTTTAAACCATATCCCAAAGGTTCCAGCAAATACCAGGACCTGTCTGCCTTGATGCTTTACAGACATAAGAGAAGACATTATCTCTTCCCTGGGAGATTACAGTCAAGAGTTTCGAACCTGCAAGTCATTTCCACCAGACCTTCACATGGAGACCCACCTGAGCTCAGAAGGGCCAGAATGAACCTATGGATTTTCCTCCCCCATCACCAATTTACAATGAGAAAAGTCATTGGAAATTAATAGCATCCTGCAGAGGTACAGAGATTACACAGCTTAGGGTACAGGCCCAGACTGGGCATCTACAAAGTCAAGTTGCACACCCCACAAGAAAGAAAAATTCTATGGCCAGTCGTCCTAAATTTCTGAGGTGTAGTATTTGCAAGTGCTGGAATTTCTATTGGTAAGAAAATATGAAAAAAATACAATTATAATATTTTTCTGTTTTGTTTTTTTTTTTAATCTGATATGAATACTAGTTTCTCTCTATCACCACAGTATGGCATTGAAAGTCTTTTCAAAAAGTCATCAATCTGACAACTCCCTTTTGACAGCAGTGACCAGGAGCCACCCATGTTAGCTTTGTTTCCAACACGGAGTTAAGCCGAGCCACCAACTGCAGAGCACTGGCAGAGCCAGAGAGACTGGTTATTGTTGTCGTCCCAACCTTCCACAATTTTGCATGGTTAAACCCTGCTACACTCCCCTTCCTGGTTCATGACACTGTAATTAATAATCCTTGTGTAACACCCACTGTCTGCTTCAACACTACAGTAGCCTAGCCCTGGAACAGACCAGTTTGGGACTGCTTTTAAGCACCCCTGAAGCTGTACTTACTGATGCAAATTTTAGCCGTTTATTATCTTTTCGCCCAAAGAGCACGATGCCACCCCTCCAAGCTCCTCTCACATACAGGCTGTCTCTCCAGGAGCGGTTTCTAGCCCTCCTCCCAAATACCCACATCCGCTGGGAAATAATATGGGAAATACATCCACTAGCATCAGCAGTTCTGCGGAATAACTGGGCTTCTAAGATATCGGTTACCTCCAACACTGTGCAGTTTTGTCACATTTTGATCATCCTCACTAACCACCATGTTTTTCACATAAGCATCACTATAAAAAAGGACCCTCTGTGCCCAGCAGCAGGCAAAAAGAAGCAGCTAGCTTTTGCACTGAAGAATTTAAACAGAATAAACATTACAAACAGAAATGAGATGGGGTGGGGGAGGGAGACCAGCATACAAACTGTGCTGACAATACACCCTATTCTCTGTTCATTCGGCTGTCTTCAAAATAAGAGTTCCTTTGAAGAAGGACCATGCCTTCCCCTTTATTTGAAAAATACTTAACACATTGCAGGAACTACAAGATACAACTAAGTACCAAGGAGTAAGGCAGAAGGCCTAGCAAACTGGAGCCAAGATGAATTTAGTGACTTCAAGTGGATGGACCTAACAGCAAGTTACTGTTCCTCAGAGAACATCCTTCGCATCAGCTATGTTACTATTTGAACTACAAGAAATACGTGGTGTAGCTGACAGTAAATCCTGTTTCAGCTGTAACATCAGGCCTTTCAGCATTGCTTCCCCTCAATGAGCCAACTCAATAACAATAAACCACCTGAGCTTTCCACCGTTGTAACTATATTCAAAGACCAACTATTTAGGTCAAACTTTGCATGACCCAGAGGCATAATCCTGGATTTAGTTTATGAGCACCACAGTATGAATATCAGAGCATCCCTGCACTTACTTTAGATGCCAATAAGCTCTGAACTGACATACTCGCGTTGGTTCATGTTAAAGGGAAAAAACGTTTGTTAATACTAAAATGTACTTAACTGAATAATGCAAAAAGGTATCTTAAGTGTATGAATTATGCTCTGGAATGAAACACTGAAGTTTTGAATTTGATTTAGTTTCATTGTTTCTATTTTTAAAAGGTCACTTCAAAGTTGGGGGTTTGTTTTTTTGTTTGGTTGGGGGCGGATATCCTTACTTCTGAGGTCAACCTGAGCTCTCACAACTTTTTTTTTTTTTTTAAAGTTGAGGGTTTGTTTGGGGTTTTCTGATATTTAAACTAAAAGCTATTCTGAAGTGGTACCGCGCAGTTATGTATCCACTACTGTAAATCCTAAAACAGTAGCCTGCGAGACATTTCATCATCCCCTCCCTCCTCACTGTCACTTTTAGTACCAGCTTACACGTCTAATGGTTGTAAAGTCTACTAAGGTCAAGAAAATATCCTGGTCTAAGGATGACTGATAGATTTGCAGATACTCCCAGAGCTGGTCTTTGGCTGAACATTCAGATCTATCCACTGACTTGCATTAACTGCACCATTTTGTTTGGAAGAAATCTCACTAACAGATCTCACTGTCAGCCCAGGTTCCCAGCAGCAGCTCAGGTCCCACAGGGACATTTCCTGCCGAGGAAAGGGACACACTTTTCACCCAGTGTTAACCCAGTACCTATCTAGCAGCAGCAGCCTGCAAAATACACACCTGTCCTTTCACTCCCTCTTCTCACCCTGTGGTCCTTTATCTAGAAAGGGAGAGCAACTTGAAGAAAGGCGAGAACTTTGATCCCGTGTCAAGTTCTGCTCACCCCAAAGGCTTGGCAAAGCCAAAAAGACTTGGTGATACCCAACACCTTTAGTAAGTCCTGGTATCCTTCACACTTGGACCTTTTAAAATGAGGTTCACTAACAATTCACTAAAAGGCTAAGTACCATCATGGCACACAACTGTTTCTCCAAGTGATGTTTCTTCCTGAAACCTTAAATGAGCATCACAAATGTTTCAAGTTAATCCTTAATCTAAGAAAAAGGCCTTTAGACAAGCACTGCCCATGGGGAGGGACACAGAGGGATGAAAGAAGGAAGGGGTTCACTTAGTAACTATACCTCTCAAAGGAGAAACAGGGACACATCAAAATATAAAGACAATATTTAAAGTGAAAAATTAAGCATTTGTTAAAAGCATTCAAAAACTGGAAAAAAAAAAAAAACTGAGTAGACTCACTCTAATGCAGGTCTCAGAACTCTAACTTTTAATGCTTCCAATATTCGATTCAACTCCACAAATGGTTCTTTTTGACTTTGATCTATTGATAGACCAGATTCCTGAAAAAACAAAGGCAGTTTTTAGTTGAAGCATAAGAAAACAGGGGATTAAGCTGCTGTTTTTCTGACAGTTTTAAGTATTCACCCGGAACATCACCATTCAAATAAGGACACTGACACAAAGCATGATTTTCTGTGGTCATTCAACATTCAACATCCACACTTATCGTTACCTGACAAAGTTCCTCGGCTACATCCAACATCCCCTGCCGGAAGAAGTGCTCCACCATCACCTCATTGAGGATTCGCTGGCTGTCAGCCTGCCAGCACCCATCTATCCCCACGCTGCTGATGTCGGAGTCAAAATTCTGAAATGTACAAATTAACAGTTAATAGGCTGGAACAAATCGGCCCATGTAATTTTTCTTCAATTATGCAGGACACCTATGTCTCCACCCTGATGCTTTCTGCCTATTACTGAGTTGGCCCTCAATTACCTCCTGTTCAAAGAGAAATATATCCGTCAGCTGCTTCGTTATCTCCTGTGTACAGAAGAAGAAATCCTTTGGCTTGCTCATTTCAAGTCTGATTATTATCCATTATAAGAAACTACACTGAAAAATTACAAGTCTAGCTAGCAAATTAGAAATGTAGTTAACTAATAAAGGGATTTCCAGACCTTGATGTGTTTTTGAAGGAAGTACCTGCAGAAAAGGCTTTTCCCATACATGAAAACTAAAAACGCAATGGGAACAGAAAACAAAGTCGCCTACACTGGAATCAAAATAGCATTATCAATGCATCACTGTCACTACAGTGCACCAAATTAGAAGTAAAAGCTTTAACTCGAGAATTTTTTACATAGCTGGGGGGGTAGACAATGCTGAAAAAGGAAAATGTCACTTCTCCCCACCCCCAAACAACAATGCAATTCAAATCTCTGAAGACCTCAACATCCCAGCAACAGGATGAGCTTTGAAGATCTGAGAGATCTTTTACAAATCTAACCCTGCTGATCCGACTGGTGTGTATTTTTAGTCCAGTGGCCTGTGGACATATTCCAGGAATAAGTAAAAATATTGTCACGGTGACTCTTCAGTAACACTTGGCATTGCTTGGCACTGTGCCTCTTGGCAGCAGGAGAGCAACACTTATTCTAATCCAAGATATAAAACAGGATTTTAACTGCTAACATGTCTTATGATTGGGGCAGGCAGGTTAATTTGAATAAAAATCCTCACCCATTGCCTAAAACAAACCTCTTGCAAAAGAAACAGAGTCTAGAAGTCAGCGCATTTCTTGCTGCCTGACCTGATGACCTGGTAACTATGGCTCTCTTCCAAAAAGGAACTTCAGAAATCAGAAGTTTAGCGAAAATAGCAATGCTTCAGCTGCGGCTCTGCGACAATTGACAGTCCTGCACAATACGGGAACACCAACCTAGCAGAAACGCATGCTTCTGTCAAAGCAGGCTGAGCAAATAACACAAAGTTGGTACGAGTTATCTTCCACTACTCTGCACAGCTCAGCTTCGCACTGCAGCTTCCTTTTATTCACCACTTACTAATATCCTGCATCAGCCACCTCCACATCTCCTTTGATGCTGCTCTGTGCCATCATGAGAAAGGGCAACCTTCTCATCCCTGCATGCGTGGCTTCAAAACCACCACTCCCTTCAGGTCTCTTAGCAAACTTCCAGTAAAACATTAACCTTAGGCTACCAAATGGTCTCTTCCATCTTTCAGAGATGGTGGTGCAAGATGAGTATTTATATTACCACCAGTGATTCAAATCTCATATTTAACATTTTCACTTGTGTCTTAACCTGTAAGCTCTTTGTCATGCTGCTCATCTTTAAGCTATGTCTTGAAAAAAAACTTAAGCATCTTGAAGACTCAATAATACTGTTCTTATTTGTGCTAACCCTTTGAAGCCTTTCAAGGGTTTTCAAAACATCTTTCAAACCATCACTGCTGATTCTGGTATCGCTGTCCAAACACCACTAGCAGGTAACGTAAATCCATCGACAATGAGTTGAAGAAATATCAGAAGCAGTATTAAGAACACACAAGCTTGCTTTTGTTACTTAGATTCTGGGGCAGGGATCATCAGTAATCTAAAAATAGCTGACTTTAAGTTATTATTCATGCCATTTCAAGTCCTAGCTAAGAAGAAACTGTATTCATCTGGGCACCTACTAACCATTAGAGCTGAACCTATGCCTTAAACATCATCACATCCTTCCCGTTGCTTGGGGGCAGAGATGCTAGAGCCACTTACTTCAGTTCCTTCACAAAATCCACATTTTGTTCTGAAACAACAAACCTATAAGCCTTAAGAACCTTTTCAAAACCTCATCATAAATTAGATTTGTTTAAATCCCATAAAAGATGGCAACAATGAGTCCTGTTAACCTAGATGTGCTGTAGATTCAAGTCACATCATACAACCTCAGGACCTAAGTTTTTTTTCTCCCCCTCATCCGTTCTCCAATTAACTTTTTTTTTTTTTTAAAACAATTTCTGAGGTCTTTATTATATGTAGGATTCTACAGCTCTGCCTCCTCTGGGTGCTGAGTAGCTTCAAGAATTGACTGCACATACTACAACGAGTGACTGTCACATGTCAGAAGAAATTACTGCTTGCCTTTGGCTTACATATTTCATAACTGTCATGCATGCAGGATATGCTGATGACTACACATCTCTCAGTTTTGTTTTCTAAATGCTAACAGTATGCTAACTGATAGCATGTGGGTTTTAATAAGATTTCAAAAGTTGAAATAAATGCTGTTAAAAACTCCAGAAAGGTTATTTTGTGCTTTTTCAGGTTTTAACCTTAGAAAAGTGTCAACTAATATTCTCGAAAAACAAACCCTTTTTTAAGAGCCTAACTAGTAAGCCCAGGGCTAAAGTGTAGAATATTAGGTACTAAATATACCAATGATACAACGTAAAATAAGTTACCAATAATTGCTAGAATGCAAGAAGGACTTCAAGCTGCACACACACACAAGATGGACCATTTTAACCAACATACAACCTTCCATGTTACCAGTAACAACATGATATGAAGAAGGATGATTATTAAGGACAAGTTTATTCCTCAGTTTCTCAGGTGAGATTATTTTGTGCATTCCTCCCTTCTTCTGAATACAAACCCCAAAATACAAATAAACTGCATTTGTTTACCTTCTCTGTTCAATTCTTTTGTTCATAAGATAAAGCTCAACTTGCAAAGAGTCTGTATTTATCTAGCCCCATTCTTCACAGCAACATAATTAAATGATGTTCAGTAAAGGTTTTTAGTTTGCTTGTTTGTATGCAGGTTTTTACACAAACAAACACTAACTTAGGTAAAAGTTTGCTTTCCCAAAACAAAGATTGGATTGAAATGTTGGCCCTTTAAAAACAGGCTTAAAATTCAGAGAAAAGATGGAACGAGTCACCATTTACTCCATTTACTTTCCTGAATAAAGGCATTTAACCACTACTCAGACAGATTGCTGCTAGAGGGAAAACATTTACTAGCCCCATCAAACATGCTTTGAGATTAATTTAAATCATTCCAGAAGAGTGATTGATTTACAGGGAGACTGACGAGTGAGCTACCTGATAACAAGTTGCTGAACAGCAGTGACATGATGAGTTCTGGAAGGAGAGCAAATGCTAGTACAATAAAGAAAAAACTGGATGCAAACATTTCCTTTCAAAGGAGAAAATACTCTTTGGAAGACTAGGTAACCCTTCATGGATCGGAAGCCTGTAATCCATGTAAAACTACTATGAAAAAAGGTCTAGCTTGTTAGATAAACTTTCCATGAACTGCTACCTAAAAAGCAACACACAAAGGTTTTGCATTTCAGACTTTAACACGGTTCATATTTGATGCCAAATTTGAACTTTGTTTTTCAAATGCTTAGAAGCTTCTGTTCTCAGTGTGAACTCCGCAGGCAGACAAATCTAGGTCCCATCCAAGTTCATAAGCAATGACTACACTAACTTCAAAACCAATCAGACTAAACTTTACATATATGTGTAACCCTGCTTCAATAGTGGAAAAAACAAATTTAACCTGAAATTTGCCACAAGCAGATAATACAGTAAGCCCTTTCAAAATCCAAGCTTGTTAAGTAGGAAGTTCGTTGATTCTACATGTAACAACAGCTGTCATTTGGATGCGTCACATACAACTGGTACCAATTATTAGCATGTTTCCCAATCTCAAATCAGGCAATAAAATGATGAGTTACATGCAGCTAGGAAGACCATAAGCAGTGTTCTAGAGACATTAATCCATCTACAAAATAAATGTGGATTTACATGTGACAGAAACAAACCTCAAGTCTCATGGATCAAGGCAAGGGCTGTGCTTCTTCAAATTCTAATGAGCATTTTATTTAGGAAGCAGTAGTGTTTTGCCCAGAATTTGTTGAGAATCAGTTCACTACATCAATTACACTTAATTACTTCTATTGGTTTAAGCTTAAGTATATTAAGGTGAAGGAATGGGGGAAGGGCAATTTCAATAGGTTATGGGACTCGGATTCCAACACAGGTTTTGCTGGCAGGTTTCAAGCACATTTCCAGCAGCACAGGGAAATCGCATTAAGTACATATGGAAGATTTCCTTCAAATGTCACTGTCCAGGGAAGCATTAAATTCCACCTGGATTTAAACATTACATGTATTCATCTGACAAACAGGCCAAGACTTCAGGGTACATTTTTAAAACCACAGTCAGGAAAAACTAATAAAATTCAAACTACTTGCACTAAAAAAAAGAAAAAATAATCAAAGTTCATATTTAAGGAGACAATCCTAACTGATGCTCTGAACTCCATAAAAATATGTCCTTCATTACATGCAGGACTGGGGACTCCTGCAGCTCCCACTGCTTCTAGTCTTTTGATGTAAACACCACAGACACTAAGCAAGACTGAGGAATGAGCACACTGAATACAGCAAGTTGAGTTCATTTTTAAACACCTCACTGAAACAGCCCTTCTTACACTCAACAGGCACAGAGCAAATTATTGGTATCCTTTCTACTATTTTACAAAACCACACACTTGAAATCTAAAAAGTGCTTTTATTAACAGCTATACTTTTTCAAATAAAAATAGTAAAACTTAAAACAGCAGGACAGAAACAACACTGGAAAAAACTATGCACATGACAACTGAAACAGCAATTTGGAGATTAGATCCACATCTAAATTTTATTAAGCTTCCAAGTGTTGTCTTCTTTGGCTTCTAAGAAATACTATCACTAATTTCGATTGAATATTCACACTCTCTATATATGACCTAGGGCTGCTCTATCTCAGAGTTTTTAAATGAAAGGGGTATAGCAAAACTTCAAAGCTTATTTGTACAAGGTCCACTTGCTACATCAGAATAGGAAAGTTTCAAACTTAGGACAAGATTACATAGATGTATTCCAGGCTTCAAGCCAATAATAAGGATGGAATTTTACTCTAGTTAATTGGTTTAAATACAGCAGCAAGGATTAGAGACAGATGCATCCTTAAGCTTTGGATAACAGTGACGCTTGGACTAAAGCTATTAGGACAAAGTTTGAGCTCTCCATGATGGTCAGTCATAGATACAAGGAAAAATGTAACAGTTGCACAGACGCTCTGCCCAATAATGCCACAACAACATGGCATCACTTAACACGAAAAAGCTGAGTTTTAGGACCATTTCAAAGAATTGTTAATAATATCTACCTACAAAAAAAAATACGTTCAGATCCCAGTTATTCTTGAACCTGGAATTCATAAAGACTGTCTCAAAGAAGTATCAAAGATAAGCTGCACTACCTTGTTATTTGTTATGGCATAGGCACAGATACTATAAAAAGTTTAATCTGCTCTACTTGCATTAAGAACACTGCCTATTATCAAATTAAGCCCTAAGAACTGAAAACACACCTGAAATATGTACAACATGCCTGTCTTTAAAAAAAGTCTCTCAGTTTTTAGGCTGCCTTCTAGAACAGAATGCCACTTCTGAGTCATTTGCTACTGAATGCTAGAAATGCAATAGATATAAAAACCACAGTGTTTCTTCTTGAGACTGATATTGAAGCAAACATTTTGCTAAACTGATATAACACATGCTATTACTAAGCCTAGAGGTATCTACAGGGCATGTTCTCTCGGAAATTAAGAGATCTGAGCTGCCCCAAAAGGAGTACTCCATATACAACGAGTTCTGAAAGCAAGTACTGTACATCCCACTGTCTTGCCTCTGCCCCAACCCTATGCTTCTGGAGTTGACAGGAAGATTTAATTAAGACTAATCGTAGTGTAAATGCAATTTTGTAAAGCAGAGTACACACCACAGAACACATGCAATAATACAATCAAACCACAACATAAATACCTTATCAATGGCTTTGCCAACCCGGGATACACTGCTGTGAATATCTTTATGATCAGATGCCAGTTTTTGAACTGTGTCTTTTATTCTTTTACAACACTGTGTCATAACAAGTGAAATTGTCCCCGACAAGTCTCCATCTTGATCTAGACAAAAGAGAGGAAAATTACTAACTTTGTTACAAACAAATGATAACATTAAATCTCTCAACATGCAACAACATCAAGACAAGAAATGGTACTAAAAAAGAAAGAAATGCAATCTAGAGAGTATTTGCAAAGCAGTATCAGTTTAAATGAAGGAAGATGTACAGGACATGGCTCACCCATGGAATTAGAAATCCAGTCAGGTGCACAATAACACTGAACAAGTGCAAGAGTTTTAAAAATTAATGTAAAGTTCTCATGTGTCCCAGTCACAGTACATTAATAAACACATCACATAGAAACACCCCAATCCACAAATCTCAGAGGATATAATAGGATGCTACTGAATCTATTACAGGATCAGTTTTCTTTCAGACAGTTCCCTGAAGCTATGTCAGAACGTCATGTTTAACTTCAAGGTGCAAGCAAAATTTGGATTAATGAGGACCAATTCATTCTTGCCCCACAAGCTACCCACTTATATCAGACCCTGTTTGCATTTGAGCTGTATGAAACTTCTGCTTCCTGACTTGTGGAAAAAGCTCTAAACAGTTCAGTCAACCAGTCTTCAACTCTCCTCAAAGGATGAGAAACAGCTCATAAAGGACCTGACTGTGAACATCAGATCCACCCTTTCCTGTTGTAAGATTTATTCTCTAGAAACTGTGACATTTTTAAACTGATGTTCAACTGACAGGTGTAATGGTCTACGACCCATTCTGTGAACAAAATAATAAATACAAAAGGTTTACAAGCCCCTGACAGCATCACCACATAGTTTACACCCTTCGTGCTTCAACTCAAACATCACTCAGTGGCTTTAGTCAGAAAAAAACCCAAATTACATTCTTTTTTGCTTTAACCCAGTCCTTTCTTCCAGCTTTTGATTTCAATATACAAGGAGAATCTCTTTTCCAGTCTAACCTCTGAAGGTCTCTCCTTCCTCAAAGTTCGTTCTACATGAGAATTTTTCCTTTAGGAACACAGACTTAGCAGCCTTCAGCTGCATGGGAAGGCTAATTTAAGTGGGAGAGCAGCCCAGAAATGCTTCTCTAACATTCCGGATCCAAACCCTTCATGTGAAAAAATAAAATCCCCAAAATATCTCTTTAGAAGAAAGATTTAAAAAGCAACCACGTTTTCCATAAAGTTTGTTCCTTTCTCATTTCATATTTTAACACGCCTTTGGTTTCAGCAGCACTTTAGAGTCCAGTTTCTGGTATTTCACGAAGAGCAAAACACAGTCACATGGAACTGCTGCTGCAGGACCAGCAAGCCGAGAACAACAGAAACAAACTGTAGCTCTTACAGGGTACCCTTAGCAATATGCCTCAGAGAGCGCAAAAGAAATCCAGAAAAAAGCTGTAATCATAGGGGTATGTTATAATTTACTGGCCACTTACTCTAGATACCTTCCTTTGTGCATCCTAACTCCCAACCCTGCTGCTGACATCAACAGCAAAAATAACCTTCTGTTGTTACACACTAAAACTAGCTCATCTCTAGAAAAGTAAATAGCTCCTGTTCATCCCCACAAGCCCCAGCTGAGGAAGCTTTAATTGCATTTTTGCAATAGCCATAGATTAAAAAAAAAAAAAAAGCTCTAACTATTTTTCCTCCCTCCAGTCCCATGAAGCTAATGATCACCTCCCAGGCAAACGGCTAATAGGGCTCTATATTTTTTCCTAGTGAACGAGTGAGGAGTAGTAAGATCAAAAAAGTCTCTTCTTCAGTGCATGCCCACTAACTTGATTCTGTGCATCCTGAATTAAAATGAAAACTTCACTCAACTGTTACATAAAGTTCGCCTCCTAAAATTATTTCAAGAATAATCACTATTTCTCAGTTGCTATTTAATTTTTATGATAGACATTTAAAATCACATGAGGGATCTTAAATAACAGTCTCATGACTTTTGCCAAGACAAAATTATCAGGCAGAAATTACACAACAAGCAAATGGAAATACTCATTGCCCAATAAACAGAGAGGTTAAAATACACTCTCTTAATAGCCAATTTTTTTGCAAGAAAGGCCATTAAACTAAAACCCAAACAACTTACATGCGTAACTGTGTTTACCCCAAGCAAATAAGTGAATTACTGTTCCTTAACACTTTACTGTAGCAGAAACCAATTACAATGGAACGCAATGAAAACGTCTACACAAGGAAAAGCCATCAGAACTTAAGAGAAGATTTCCCCCCTGCACGCATCTCTTTCACCTTTAATCAAACTGCAAGCTACTTCTAATGAATGAGCAGAAGAAAGCTTGCAGACCAGTAATTCTGTGTTCACAGAACACTACAGACCGACCGCTTCCCTCCGCATAGTGTACCTGTGGTCACAATTTTTAAAAAAATACATTAGCGAGTAGGCATAGAGTAGAGTCAAAAGCCAAGTTTACTCAGCCACACACATTTATACCATCCAAGAATAGACAATCCTGCCTTGGCTACTCCAGGAGGTGAGATATATCAAGGGGAAGAGACAAGAAAACCGAACTTTGTCTTCCTATTCACAGGCCTTGGCATAGGCTGTTCTGTGCTTAAGACTTTAATATGAAAGTAGCGCAAGAAATTTTAAGAGACTGTATGAGTGGGGAAAAGAAAAGCAGTTTAGAGGTTGAAGCAGCTTCCAATGGCTTCTTTTTCTCCACCCACTTCCTTTTTATATCCACTGCCTATTTAAGGTCTTTTCATACATCTTTGCTCTCAAATCTCATCCTACAGCATTAATTTCTTCTTCAGCAGTGAGGGTTTTCTTTTATTGTCCTTTTTTCCTTTTAAACTACATACACAAGCATCTTTCTGTAGTTCAGACCCCTGAATCACAAGAGGTCCACATTAAGAAGTATGGCTGCTTCCACTTCCATCAATTTTCAAAAATACTCAGGATACAGTATATAAAAGCTGCAAATACCTGTTCTTATTAGAAAGTTACCTGTAATAGGTAAAACCACAACAGTTAAAAATAATAACTGTGCCACAAATGAAGCCAGCTTACCCTCAGATGCCAAAATTGAACACAGTCCCCAGATGTTGGAGGCTGCACTAATGACACATTGGCTTCATTCTAGAGTATTTACTAGAAGAAAGCTCAATTTGCGATGTACTCTGCTGAGACAGCATCACCACTTACTTGGCAAGTGCTGAAAACATGTCCAGGGCCTTCACATGACAGTCCCAAAACTCTTAATCCAAGTCTGGATGAAACTACAAACTGGAACCTTTTAATTTTATTATGAAGGTAGTAAAATCTCTGGACCCGCAAGAGGATTCTCACAGAGAATCTTTACAGCCCGACATATCAATACAAGCGTAAGGATCATGCCACGCCACTTTCCAGGCAAGGCCAGCATCTCAGCTTGTGAGGACATGCATTTTATCGACTGTCCTTAATGCACAAAAGCCCAAACCGTTTTGAATAGCACAAAATTCATTTATCAAAACACAGTTCAAAACAACACCAAAAGGACTGAATGCTATTTCATCTCAAATAAATGTCTCAGAACTGGAGTTCCATGTTTGCTCTCTATGGAAATTGCTGCGTACACACACAGCAGCTCTGATACATTCGTGTTTATGTTCCTGGAATTACAGGCACTCGTAAGCAAGCTTTGCACCTGTATTTGTACAAGGCTACAGCAAACACATTTTTCTCCGAACCAAACAAAAGCAGATTCCACAAAACCAGTGAAATAGCACAGTTTGCTCTCAAGTTTGGCTCAGGAGCCTGCAAACTCTCATTTTTAATCCCCGAACCATCACTCGCTTCCTGCATGGCCTCGGGTAAATCACTTCAGCTGTCTCACCACCCCCTCCCACTCCATCAATACACACCGCATCACCTCCAGCTCAAGGATTTCGCAAGGTTTAAATGTTTCGTGTTTATAGCGCGCTTTGGCCACGGAGCCCGCCTGCGCAAGTGCTCAACACCGGCTGTAAAACACAGGCAAGGCTTAGGAGGCCGGCTTTGCTTCCTGCTAAAAAGAGTGGCTTTACCCTAAACACTTCCAAACCTAGCCACATCGAAAGAAAAGAACTTAGTGACGGGGGGGGAAGAAAAAAAAAGGGGGCAGAGGGGAGAAAATAGGGTAGCCCAGCTGTTTATTTCCCCTGAGGGTGGGTAACCCGACATGAAGGCGCAGAAGGGACGGACACGCCGTGCCTGCTGACCGGGGACAGAAGGCAGGCGAGGCCTGGGAGGACCGATACCTGTCCCTACCTTTTAACTTTTCCCTGTCAGAAAGGCACACAAAGCTCTGACTCGGGGAGGGCAGACCCCCAGCTCAGCCCCCAGCAGCCAGATCTCCCCTGCTCGCCGGAGCCGGCCCGTAAAACG